TGAATGGCAAAATTGAAATATGGGTCAAATTGCGGCTGCGATCTATTTCACAGTTGGAATGATTTTTTTTAATTTATTGAGCATTTTTCCTGAAAAGATCACAACAAAATCTACGACTACTCCAATTTTCACGCATTCTTCTGAGCGCGAAAACTCACTGAATTTGGAGTACTTTTTTAGTTGACCCACACATGGCTGAGTGGCAAAAATGGAAAATGTGCCGAATCGGCGTGATGATTATTTCGCAGTCGAAATGATATTTTGAAAATGTTCTAATATTAATCCTGGAAAGAACACAACCTCATTTATGGATTCTCAAAATTTCAGATTTTCCTGCGGGTTCGTCCGAGCACAGAAAATCGTCTAAGTTGCCACTTGCAAAGCGTCTGTTTCATTTCGCATGACCTCCCTGTTTTGAGAAGACGGACCTCAACGTTTGGGCCTGAGGGCCCTTTTGCAGTTCACATGCCCTCACTTCTTTTTGGGGTTCGCTTCTACCCGAGGACCGGTCCAACGTCCCCCACTTCTTTTTGGGGTCCACTTCCACCTGAGACCGGTCCTTCCTTTTTCCAAAAGTCCCGGTTCTACTAGAACTAGCTGTAGGTAGTCCACAATTTTGCCAAGGACCGGTTCCCCAAATCTTTTTGTCCCCTAAGAACCCACTTTGCGTCCTGGTCGTTCGCCGCCAAAAATGCGACACCTTGACACAGACGCCGAAGCCCACTATACCGCAGCCTTAGGGATGCGAATTTGAAGGCTCAAAAAGTTATAAAAAAGTAAACTTATTGATCACGTAGGAAAACAAAAAACTTACTCAGAGAGAGAGAGAGAGAGGAAGAGAGACCAACTGGCATATTAGCTCAGTTGCCACACCCTTGAACTGTTGAAATACAGACCTGAATTCGAACTACACTGGAAGCAAGTAAAATACTAGTCTAAGAGTTCTGAATTACCTAAGGTCAGTCACTTCGATAACCATATCTCAAGGCCGTCTTGGAGAGAGGAATAGAGGGCGAGAGAAACGTGTTCCGTTTTCAAATGTATTTTTTCACAAATGCAAACGGGTAGAAGTTACCCCAAAAACGCTAGCGAGTGCGGCCATTATATTTACACTACAAAATACTATTCCTAGACCCTCACTTCAGAAAACCTTTCCTTCGAATTTGGAAGGGATCGATAATGCGTCCAGTTACCGTCTAGTCCTTCATTGTCTATCGGGGGGCGTGGGGAATGCAGCCCTAAGGGCCTATGTCTTTTTTTTTTTTTTTCAGAGAGAGGGAGAGAGAGAGAGAGAAGAGGAATGTGTCCCCTATCCACATGCATCTCTTCATAAACGCAAACACGAAGTGCACATGTACCTACCCCAAAAGCTCTTACAAATTCATAAGCACAACGACAAAATATTTCTCACGTCCATTATACCTACGCTATCGGATACTCGTGCAAGGCCCTCCCTTTAAAAATCCAATAACTAAGGTCCTTAAGAAACCAAGAACTGTTCCTTTGAATTTTGAAGGTATTAGTATTACCACGTGCTACCACCAATTACCAGTCAGTTCAACCAAAAACTACTTCTGAAGCTTGTCTCTCTAAGGAGTGGCTGGAATAGGTTTTATGGGGTGTCCATTGCCTTCTATTTGAAGTCTTTCAATATTTGTTTGTCTTCTATTAGTTTATCAATGGACAAATAAATCCTCAATAGATGGTCGGGGTTTGACCTCCTGATGAGTTGTCGAAGGAAGCCTCAAATAGGGGTGATGCTTGTGAGGGTTGCAATTTCGCTGCACCTCCGAGGGCTGGTATATAATTATGGATGAAATGTCGATAAATGAAAGTAAGCATTGATGATGGTGTTCCATAAGTTATGGCAAATAGTGAAAAAGGAATTAAAAGGTTGTGCAAAATAGTAGAGATATGGATCACACAAGTGTGTCGGGGAACCTGCCGCAAACAAATAACAATGAATGGTGGTAATGATGGTTACAAGTGGGATATTGAGAAAGTTTTGACTGCACAATCAGAGAGGAAAGTAAATGAGAGGGTAACATATAAGCAAGATTGGGCTTGTTGTCCCTATTAAGCATTATAGGTATTTTATTGACAGACAATGTTACTTGATGTTCGTCTATAAGACAATGACCATGTGTGGAGATGCGTTGGTGATTGGTGTCAAGATGTGATTAATACAAAGTTCCTCAATCGGTCCAAACTCAAATTTATGCAGCTGATATTTATAGACGTAAAGATTGAATCCTATTTTATATGACATTATTAATTGATTGTTGAATTTGTTGGAAAAACAAAGAATGATAACAATTTTTTGTATGCATATATGCATATATATATGTTACATTTATAGATATATAGTCAAACATATATATATGTACCTTCTTGTGATGCATTTTGATATATATATAATTGTTTATAGTAACATTGATGCACATGTATTTTTTAGTAAAGATGGGAAGATAAAGACGTGGGTAGGAGACGTATGGATAAAAGTCTATAATCAGCCTGCTCAAAATTGAATCTCATATAGTTGCCCTTAATAGACAATGCACCGGATTGTATAGATACCTAAGTGCATTATGCTCGCCTTATCATACGAGTGCTTTATCAAACTAAATATGTAGATGACCAAGTGTGTGATCTTCACTTGGTCATGTGAGTGCTCCACATACACTCAACACCAAATAGTTTTGAATGAAAAATAAAACTTTATGGGGGTTGGGGTATGTTCATGCTTTATACTCCCGAATAATAGACTAAACTAATATTAAGAAAGATAGAAGTAGAAAGATCACTCTCTCGAGATTCAGAAAGAGGTTCCCTCAGACTCGTGTGGAGAAGGCCTTATTGTCTTCACTCTCCTGAGGGCCCCGCAATGGTGACCAATCGTACATAGGCCCTATGATATAAGTAGCGATAGTGATGAATGCAGTTACCCAAACCTCCAATGGCAGCCACCTACCAGTGCCACAGCCCGACGCAATAACGACTCACAGATCCACAACACTAACACCAAAATATGTAGTTTGTTTGCAAAAATAACAAAGTTTAGCAGTAGTTATCCATCAAAAAGGGAGCCAACAATACTTGAATACGATAAAGCAATAGTTGTGTAACTATGAGAATATTTTTTTGTGCCACAGATGACACAATTGTGTTACCCCACAAAATCAGTTATCCTGTTGAAGAAAGCAACAACACAAAGTTATGAGAAGCAACAGTACTGTAGTTAGCAAGTGTTAGTACAAGTACTTCAACAAAGCATGAACCAGACAACTGCAGTTTGGCATGACACAACAACCACTGCTAAAATAGTGAGTCATGAATAACCCAACGATGAAGCTCCGAACAGTCTGCGTCTGCCAAAATCGTGAGTCATGAATGACGCAACAATGAAGCTCCAAACAGTTTATGTTTGAATAGAATGCAAACTCTATTTAAATAGAACACATGCGAGTTTGAAAAACAAAACAGCAACCTTTCCTGACCCATACTAGCTTCTACCTCTTATGCAAACTTCATTACCCGTA